TTAATAATTATTCTCTTTTCTTTACGCCATTCAACTAAATTGATATCACATTTATATAATAGTTTATTTACGCCGAGTACATTTAATTAATTTGCGTCAGCTGCATAAAACATTGGACAGTACTTTGTACGCTGAGAACTGAAACAATCTCAAATATTTTGTACAACCAACTTATTATCTACAGTCTCTTTATTTCGTTTAAAAACTTGTTTACCGTAGAAAATCGAAAGCTACAATGCTTCTGTGATTGCACATTCAGTGAACATAATACAAAGATATTAGCATATCAACGTTGTACCATTTAAGTACAATATTTTGAGATTATTTGGCTTCGAATTATATATTAAATATTAATCAAATATGAGTGAAGTGTATATAATATAAAATACGTGTAGATAGAAACATAGCGATCACATTTACATACCGGTACATTAAAACCTCTCCTGGGTGTTGCATATCATCATTTGTCCTTGTACATAAAAAATTAATTAAAGCCAACATCTGAAAGAAAAATGCGACAATAGCAACGAATCCTTTTGTTCCCGTACGTTAAGTTCAATGAGTATTTTCCGTATGCAGTTATATTGCTAATGCCAGTAGCTCCTGCATTCTCTTCACGCACAATTCCGACGCATCTGCGGCTTCTTTCGACACCTATAACAGTTCAATGTAACGTAATATCGTATACGATGTTATAGCATTCGTGTGGGAATATTTACCGGGACTAAATTAAGAAACCCATGCGGTAAACCTGGCAATACATCAAGCGAAACTAATACACCGAGCAACCGAAGTTTCCTAGCGAACATGATGGAATCGTCAAGACATGGATCCAGCTCTGATGTCTATAAAAATATTTACATGTACATTGTTGTATCATGTTCGTAAAATTTACAATTTAAGTAATTACCATCAGTTTAACGGGCGGCAATTGAGCTAGCAGATTATCCGACGCGAGATAAGGGCTCAAATATGGATCTTTGGGCACAGTGAAGATGTATTCTTCTAAAGGGCTCTTTGCATGTTCCATATCCAATTCCCTAGACTCCCTGTGCCTCCCGGTCAGAGACCAACCGAACAAAGACCAAGGCCTTCCGTTCCTTGGAACATCTTTATCCGTAGCGATAGTGCCATTTCCAATATGATTCGAGTTGTTCGTGCCGCAATTTCGGTAGAGTTCTACAAATTTGTTTACGTAGTCTTGAGATTTCGTTTCTTCCTGTAGATGCTCGGTTCCTGTTACGTTAGCAAACGGTCAGTGTATTTACAATACGTTTACGTTAAATATGGTTTCTTTATTACCATCGGCTTCTGTCAAAGTGACAGAATTCAAAGTGGAATCAGACGGTAAGGACGCTAACTTGTGAGCATCGTTTGTCTCATCTCCATTAGGGCTGAGAGCTAAAGCTATCAAGTCGCTTTCGCTCACTTCGGCGAACGATTCCGTGTCTGATTTTGCACACTCGGCAGCATCCTGTTCCTTTTCTCTAAAAGGCAATAAAATAATCGTTGATCGTGTATCGTACATTAACTTCGTTTCGCGTAACATTTACCGTGCACTCTTCTTAATACTATCCGTAGCAGCGTACGCTTTCAAACAACGCAATAGAAATCCCATTGGTAACATTGGGTCCGTAACGCAGAGTAGCCGCGAAGGTGACAAAATAAAGTCAACGAGAACTGGTGTGTACAGCATAAATATTCCATCAGGTTTTCTGATGTTTAATTGCATACATTTTAAGGTAACACCCAAATTTAAGTTGGCCCCTGCAGAATCGCCTACGGAAAGATGATTTTGATTGAATAATCCGATACACGCTGAATAAGTGCAGTTAAACATTATCATCTTACCAACTAATAGTATTTTCTGTGCTTTGCTTCCGAGCAATGTACTCGCATGATTTAAGGCCCAAACGTACGCGTACAGCACTTCCTCCAACGCGCGAGGAAACGGAGCTTCGGGCGCTAAACTGTAATCTATACTTAGTATAGGCATACCCAGGTTCACGGCCCAATTACGTAAGTACGTTTCATGAGACATGGACGTTTGCGAGACGAAACCGCCTCCGTGACAATGAATTATCAATTCGTCGGACAAGCCTTGCAGTTCACCTCCTACACCACCTGAACCAACCTGAGAAAAGCATATACTGCACAGGAGTGAAACTGATGCCTCGTAAAAATGTCTGTATCGATCGAGGAAAACTTAGCGATGGAAATGATAATAATTGAGAGTATCGATCGTGCCAGATAATTAAATTACTCCGTTTACCATTCCTTCCCGACGTTTGGAACTCAACAGTCTGACATGGATTGGCTTCTTTCCGATATGACTGTTGGGTATCGGAATCGACACGGTCGATCCGCTTAACGTCGGGACTATCAACTCTTCGGGTGGAATTGAAATTATTTGGTTTATTGCCAAGGAGGTAGACGCCATGATAGATACGCGCGCTAGGTCTAAAACATAGTTTGTACAAACTGATTGAAACCCAGTATTATTACAGTGGATTCAAATGTTTCTCACCAGCTTCGTTAAGGAACCAGAAGGCTTGACAAAACGAGACATCAGCGTGTTGAGACACATCGACGATACGACGTGCTCTTAGTTCGGGATCTAACATATATTTGACAGAATTAGTGCACCTTGCTAACAAAGTACCATTAGCATAATACGCTTCGCTGAAGGTGGCCATAGCGACCATTAGCACTTTTAGAGTAGGTTTCAAGCTCTCGTAAAACTAAAAACAACACGGTCTATTAAAAGAAAGAAAGTTGATGCAAGTATCTTGATCAGTACCTGAAAGCCTAAGCATCTGCCATAAAAACAATATTGATTAACAGTGTCCATTTTATTTAACATCTCATAAGAACTATGATCATCAGCTATAAAGAGAGACGGTCTCCCATCGCTTGCTAAACTACTCCACGAGTATAGCATTTGTAAATGCTCTAAACAAGTGCATAAAGATGCTAGTAGTTGTGAACAGGCCTCGATTTCCCTGTAAACATATTTGTTACGTTAACTTTATTAAGCTCAACGTTCCTTTTAAATAAATGTATATCAATTACCTCATGTGATAAGTTTTACGGAAAAATATAGAATCCTTTTGACAATAGATTTGGTGGCACTCTGTTCGCGAATGCATGATGCCTTTATCTACCAGAATTAGAAAACTTCTATACCCGTTGCCAGGTGTTTCTGGATCCAAATCGAACAATGGTGCAATCCTGCTGATCTCTTTATATAATGGTTGCAACTGTACCAAATGATCCAGTATTGCCGTAAGTGCAGCTCTGATTCTAACGCTGTTTTCATCCTGATGAGACATGAAGTACTCTGTATTGGCATGGCATAATTCTCGTAATGCACCCCACTGCAAGGGCTCAACATTTTCGAATGGTCTATCGAAGTCATCCTCAAGTGACATCTGAGCTGCTTTTGGTTTAGTCATTTGACAATCAGTTTTTAGTCAATTATTTTATAATAAATAACAAACGCGGAATCTGAAATATCAAATAATTATATTAGTATCGTATTAATCCACGAAATAAAAATTCTTCTAAGACACATCGTAGAACATCGTCACTATTACTCTGCAGTTTTAGTTCAACGTTAAAAAACACCGTTAAAAAACGCGTTCATAGTCCGTACTCCGTACCTCCTCGATACAATGCCTTTAAAGCTCATGATTCTAATTCGGAGAAGGTTAATACATTTGGAATGCTTGAAATAATGTAATACGTATGGCTCACTTAATTATCTTTCAACCTTCGATTTACACTACATCGAATTCCGGTTGATTAAATTCCTGGAACACATCGTCGTATGTGTTGCAATGACTGTTTTTATTTTGGATTTGACATTTCGTAGATCCCTATCGCCGCTACCATATTGCCTTCCCGATCGATTGTCGTCTCACTAACAATTACCGCTATGTATGCATTAAATGTTATTGACACTCACTAACACGTTCTTCAACAATGGATTTGATAGCAGTTATACTCACAGTTGATTAGCATTATTGGAACACGAATTCTATATTTCAACATATATCTACTGTGAATGCATACTAGGAAGAGATATGATAACAGATTTTTATGTTTAAAGGCTCTTGCGCGAGCCACAAAGAAAGCGGGATAATTTGCACATTTCCTCAGTACACTGACGTATGTACGTATGTATGTATTATCGATCTAATCGACACTTACACGGTTTAACGACCTAATGACAACGGCTTATCAAACGCTTGTTCTCAACTCTAATTATTAAATTCTTCACTGATAACAATATTAATTACTACTATAAAATATCAATTAGGATGTATACATGCGAATCACTTAGAAAGATTACAGACATACATAGGCGAAAGTATGTTTACTTACCAGACATTATCCGTACTTGCGCTCCGTTATTTGTTAAAGCACAAACGCGGTCTGATTATATTTCGTCAGACCGATAAATAATTTATACTCGCCCGCGTAGTCAATGTTGAGCAACTGTCTCAGTGAATAAATGCATCATTAATGATATATATGTATATGCACACGCCAGCGATAATCTGGCTGGAGAAATATTTTTGAAGAATTTTAATATCTGGCATAATTGTACGCGTTTAGTACGTTATCGCTATACAGCCAAGTGTTAATGATTCACTTCCGTATTACGCGAATACTCTATTTATCATTACTTTTTCATGGATATTAAAGTATAAAGAACAAGTGGGCGACATGAAACTGGATCTTTGTAATTTATTTATTGATAAGTAAAATTACATATATCCACAAACACAATACGTTCTTTTCACGGAGTGTATTTTAATGCGATAAAATTTGTGAGTGGCGAGGAGAAATCCTTGTGTGTGATGGAGATAAAGAGGGATTACTCAGGAGTAGTCATTTGAAATCCTCCGGTTAGTAACTTTGCTAATCATCGAAGAACGGTCGCAGAAACGTTCTGTATAGTCGGACGCGTAGTTTCCGATCCTACAAATTTAAAAGGCAAAATCAAAGTCGATGTTAATTCGCATGTTCTTGATCCGAATCGCGCTTCATTGTTAATCTTGTTTATTTCTTAATCGCCACGACCAAGTGGCTATTACTCATTATAAAATATCAACTCTTATCAAACAGTTCGATGCGGATCATTTATCAATCAGCTGTTAATAAAGAACAAACGTTAGACAACGCTTATGGTAACGTAAAGGTAAGGTGATATCGAGTGGGTGCTTGCTGTCTGCAAGCTAAATGCTTTGTCTGATTACCAATCAATGCAGTACGTAAGATCGAAAACTATTTTCAATACAGTTTTGTGTAGGCGTGTGAATACACGAGTATCATTAAATATTGCACTCGTTCGAAGACGCGGAAGATTTGATAGAATGGTAAGAAATCGACCTGTTATACCGAAACCACTGCAAAAATAAAGTTTAGTTCCGTTATTATCCCCATTTTTCACCGATTTCTATGTCCGAACCGCTACGCAAAGGACGTATTATTTTTTTTTCCTCCATTTCTTTTTGTTTCCCTTTTCCTCTCTTCCTTATTCTCTCACCCAGTTACCTTTTCCTCTCTTTTAAGCTAAAGTTTAATTACCACGGTAAATATTTATTACCTCTTTACAAAAATCAATTCTTAAACTTATACGAGGGTGGCTCGATGCAAATTCACAACATCTTGAAGTGAAACAGTGACGGTGAAACACTAGAATATATGTTATGTATATCGCGAAACGAGCAGACTAATAAAACTGATATGCTTCGAAGGGGCTTTTCAAGCTTCTCGTTTTTTAATACTGATGATAGCCTTCCTCGCAAGTCCATCCCCGCTGTTTATATTATCGTCGAAATAATGTTATTATCGTATCCCCTCTATCGTTCTTCAACCTCGACACTTCGTCTAAGGGATTCATACCTTTATTTCGTTTCCCGAATTCTAGAATCGTATACAGTCGAACCTGTGTATTTCAACATTGTTCTGCACTATAAAACCTTTGAAAAACGTAGTACACTAACTCTTACAGAGTTCAGTTCCAAAAGAGCGAGAATTACATGTTCACTTTACGAAGTATCACTGTTCACATTAATAAATGATGAAGACAAACTGTCGTTGATTAAATGCAACCGTTTTGCATGCTCGCGACGGAGTACAATTATTCATCGTACGAGGTTCGACTGTAAGGTGCGGTGTAAGTACCTACGCTGTTCCGAAAAGTAAATATGGTACGCGAGATTAATTTGGCAAGCACTACAGGTGCTGTTCGCATCATATCTCTCGAGAAATATAATGTATGACGAGGAAGCAGCACATCCGCCAACGTAGGCCAATTCGTCGTACACGCCGAGTATGATGAATCGCATACCATCTTCGCAGTTCCCTCCGCAATTTTATTGCACGAAACGCATCGAAATCGGCGTTATATAAGTCGCGGTCGAAAGAAACAATAGCGTTTTTCTTTTTTCATCATTTTCCTCTCTATTTTCCTAGAGACATGTGGTATTTTTTTTTTCCTCAACATCTGTGAATCCGTATCAAGTCAGATATTTTATACGCGACGTTTCACATTTTCTTGCTCTCATGTTCTTCTCCTTTCTCTCATTATAACGACTATACGCTATAGGTACATAATGTATAGTTAATTTGATAGGTGTACATGTATATGCATATGTATATATATATATTATATATATCTATGTATATATATTGTTCATATATTACACACACACACACACACATACACACATGAACATATATATTTATATATAGATATTTATATTATTATTATTATTATTATTAATATTAACGCATTGATGTTACGCTATGCTCTTGTCGTTACCTCCATAGACAGTATTATTTTAATGTTAATTGCTATCATTTCTTTTTTGCCTTCTCTTTAATATATCTAAAATAATATTTTTAACACTCAGCGATGCGCGAATGTGTGTGCCTGTGTATATACTTATTTTTTCTCATCGGCTTTTGTATCTTCCACCGGAGTTGCGTGAGACAAACACTCGAGAACCGTTTCCCGTTTTCGCTAAATAGGAAGGCAGCTGCTTTCACGTGCGCTTAGGAATCCGAGGATCATTGTTCACCATCCCCGGTTTGCGCATCCGCTTAATTCGTTTTAGCAAAATTAGCATAAGAGAAACAAACATCTTACGGAATGTGTACAATCATTATGCAAAATTATGACGCGTACGTGTTGCGTAGACGGTCATATTTTATTATCAAAAGCATCGTTAAATCGTCGTCAATTATCAACATAATACTTGCGCGGCTAAAATTGTACACAATCGCTTATCAAATATTATTAATTCAGATATACCCCGATACGAGTAATTAATCGATACAAAGGAATGCAATCGCAGTCTAATAATGAATCGACGGTGCAATTAAAACGAAAGCTATGCTTCCCCACGCGACCCTGGCTAAAGTGCAGCCTACTACCATTTTTTTTTTGTTTGACCATATACAAATATATAAGCATTAAACGTGTAATATATTATCGTCATCATATATAATTAATATCCTAAGATAGTTATTGTATGAACCATCTTTCGATAAGGGGAGAAAAAAAAGAGACGGTGAAACAAAAGTAAGACAGAAAAACACGATTCTCTTCTCTTTCGTCTTTCTTAACATTCGCCACTTATTCGAGCTAAATCGGAGGTACCTAATGCCACTCAAAAAAACTCCTGTGTTTGAGACTGTTCCTCTTATTCGGCGACCTCGGCGTGACTCTTTCGATCCGTACGCGTTTCCATTTGAAAAGTAAAAAATGAAACGCGACGCGGTAGTTTCGGCCGAGTCGAACGAAGCTGCCGAATATTTTCCATGCAATACGTTCGGGACAGCACCTCGATAAGACTTTAGTGGACTCTTGTTATTATTATGGAATGATAAAATATCTTGCATCTCGTTCTTCAACTTTAGATACGTCGCGTGATTCAATTTTTCTCTTATTAAGTATAAAGTTGTATAATCTAAAGTTAAGACGATTAAGTACTGAAAAAGGTCGCTGAAAAAATCAGGCAGTGGGAATCGAACGGAGATGAATTAAAACAGCTGCATCACAAAGGTGAACGTGCATTTTTGATCGCCGTTCTGATATTTTAGGAGCATCGGTTAGAGCATATACGTTTTCCTCGCGCAACACGCTAGTAATATGCTTTCTTTATTATTAGTTTTTCTTTAAGTCGGATTATGATACTTTTATGCTGCCACTGTGCAAGCCGCTACCGCTGCTACCATAGTTTGTTTTTTATTTAAGCTGCGTTTACCATTATTGCCATTTACTATCTCGAAAAATATCAGAACTCAGAAGTAGTACAGCAAAGAGCGCAAACAGCACACGCATACCGCAGATGCGTCATCGACGAGACAATACGCATTTCCTATTGCTCGTAAACGATGAGTCGTTAATCATAGTCCACAGCCTTCCGACCGAAGGATACCGCGTGTTAACGTTAATGCGAGTAATGATTATTATCGTTTTTTTTGTTTCTTTTTTAATAAAGAGCGCTCCTTCCTGCGTTTCTTGATTTCAATAACATGTATGACAACGAAATGAAAACAACGTGTATGAGATACTTCCGAAGACAACATTTTTATCGCGCACTTCCCATATGGCACATTGGCATGTTGTTTCCCTTTCGAACTGTCTCTCGTAGATAAATCCAGACGGTACGAGCATTACGTGGACGTTTATCTACTAGATGTTATTTACGAAACATTGCTTTATACATATCATAGATCGTCTTAAATGTGGTCGTATAACGCCGCGGGCTATAATAAAGAGACGCGTGTGTGTGTGTGTTACATAATGATAATGTATACGCAATATTCACCTATCTCTCTATGGACAGATTTTATACTCCATATTATGTATATCGCTAAGACATAGATTTGTATAACTTTTCGAATCTTCGGAAGAACCTCGAACCTGAAAGGTATTTTATAATATCTTACACTAACAAAATACTATGAGATTCTTGAAGAACATACGCGAGATAACGGACAATTAAAGATTTCAGTTTCAAATTAAATCTCTTTGTAGACCGAGGTGATTCAATTATTCTTTAATCTCGAAGTATTTGTATGTCGGATTCTCGTATCCGTTGATCTGCATGTTCGCGACGTGTCGCTCTTCCGGTGTAGCCGCTTGGTCGACCTCGATAAATCCCTGTTCAATGAAAAAAACAGTAAGTAAAAACACATGTAAATAAATGTAGACAATTCTTTTAAAAAATTTCATTGTCGCTTGGACCTTACCTGACTGTGAGGGCTTCTTGCACTGCGCCTTTTAAATACTGCTACACCGACCACCGCAGCAGCCATGAGTGCTATTCCAGCGAACGCGAGGGTAAAGTAGACGGATCGACTTTCCCTGTGATACACCTGTCTCCTCACGGAATATTCCTGCGCATATAATGAAAATTATAGCGAGTTCTTTATCACTTCCCCGCATTCTGATTCGATGTAATTACCGGTTCAGAGTGGGAAATTTCATGCGTCATGCTGTGAGCTGCCCTAATGAGTCCCTCGCTGTGCATAGCTGCCACTGCCGATGGTTGTTCTGGTTGTTGTTGAGTATCCTTATTCTCGTTTATCGACTCGTTTTCTTCCTGTTGCGCTTGTTCCGTGCGTAACTCGCCACGTTCCGCTTTGCGTTGCTCTTTACGCGCGCGCTCCAGTTGCTTTTGATGTTCTTTTTCTGTAAATGAAAAATGCATAGATAACGCTGTCTATTAGAGGAATCGATCGATCATCGAAATTAGAGCAGTGATTACCTTGCTGCTTGCTGGTGACGTCAGCCTGATATTTGTCTAAAATGGCTGCTTCCGCTTCACGTGTCATCGCTAGCAGCAGGCCAGGAGTCTCATCTTTGCTCCTGAGGGCCAAAACGTAATCATCCATAAGCCGGCCAATTTTTGCGCTTAAATCAGGGTACCTAAATAATAACCAACGAAATCATCCATATAGTATTCTTCTATCGATCCACGATATATTATTTAGTTTTCCTCTACTGTCAAAATCTGGAATTTATTCTTAGACGTTGACGTGTTATGCTCAATTAATCGTCGATCGACACGTTACCGTTCTAACATCAATAGACTCTGATTAGTAATCCTATCGATCTCCGCCAAGTGCTCCAACGTCGCCGGCTTCTCACGTTGAGCCTGTTCCAAGCTGCTGTCCAACAAATGTTTGTAATGGGCGATAGTGTGATGCCTGTCTTTGTGCAGGGCGCGCAACAGTTTCTGCAGACACTTCTGGATGCGATGCATCTGAATAAAGAATGAGGACGAGATGCATTCGCGTAGCTCGAGTATTTAATATTGCACACCTACCGTCCCGAAACTTACGTTTGGCGGCGTCTCGTTGAGAGCAGCGGTATAACACGACATCGCTTCCTCGTTCCTTTGTTTAACAGCTTCCTGTGAATCGATGATTAAATATTAAAATGATACAAACTAGACCACTTTTTGTATTAGGAATCAATTTTACCTGTACTCTTTGCTGATGCATAGCGCTTAACTGATGCTTCTCCGCGGCTCCGCTCTCTTCGAGAGCAGCGACGGTCTCCTGGAATCGCGCGGTCATCCATCGTTTGAAAGCGTCGGCGGCGATCGGATCGTGCGCGCGAATGTCTTGATACTTCTCCTCGAGATCACTCCAGTCCTTCATCACCTGAAAACGTTGTAGCACACAGATTTCGACACTAGTGTCCCGCGAGATAATAATTATCTCTTGAAGCCCAAACCCTGTATCGTATTTTTAAATGGAACAAAAGTAAAAGTGGAGCGATATGATAGAACCCGCTTACTTTTGTTACTTTCTCCTTGTGCACCTCTTCGAGCCTCATTTGTGCCTGCTTGTAGCTCTGGTGCTCGGATCGGGGATCGAAATGAGTCAGATACGGATCCGGCGTGCTTTGTGATTGCGGCGATTGCTGCTGAGTGCTGGTGCTAACCGGCAACGGCATCGCGGTCACATCTTGCTTCGGTTTTTCCGTTGTCGAGACCGTGGTTGACAATCGACTATTCAATATTTATGTACAAAATAATTAGGTTGTAAAACAAGTGTATAGATCCCTAGAGTCTCATATTAAACAGAAAACGCTACTTCACCTCGTCGTAGTATCATAGTCATCGAGATACTCTTCATCGCTGTCGTCATCGTCGGGTTGATCGCTGAGCACGTCTTCAGAATCCGCTTCAGAATCATCTTCGTCATCCGTGTCAGCGTCTAGGTCGTCCTCGTCGTCAAGGTCGTCTTCGTCTTCGTCAAGATCTTCGTCCACACCTTTCGGGATCGGCAAGTCGATCGGTTTCTTTGGCTTCATATTCTCTGAAAATTCCACGCGAACATTATCTTTCATTCGATTTGTAGGAAAATATCTGGAACTACTTTTATATAATTCATTCGATGAGATGAGATGAAGATGATGAAGGTAGACACACAGAAAACATGTATAGCCGATTGATTACCTTGACTTTGATCCCAAAACGAAGCATTATGAGAAATCAAGCTAAGCAGTGTATATTGAAAGCAGGTTCCGTTTTAGTTTGCATTGTTCATTACAATTCCTGTTCTCCTGTGCATTATTTGCCAAGATCAAAAGGGATGTAAATCGCGCGTTTGAAAATGTCATCCCCTCGCGTGTTTTCCGCGTACTCGCGTCCTTCTCCCACCGTGAAAAACTCTAATTTGTCTCTGTTATGTTGAAGAGGACAGCCGTCTTGACTAACTAGGTTCTCGAGATGTCCCATTCTCCGAGAATAGACACGCTGATGAGCTGACTTCTCGAGTTCTGCAAAGGCAGACAAAAGCTTCGCCCGGACGTATATCCTCACCGCTATCCTTTTATCTGGGTCACGCGGCGGTTGTGTTGGCACTTTTTCCACGAGAATATTGTCCGTCTATCGCGGCGGGTGTGTATCGGGTCCGCAGGCTGGATGCCGGCCTTTCATCTCGAAAAACGGTGGACGAAGGAAATATCAAGATTTGATCGGCGATACCGAAGAGGAAAACCAATCGTCCGGCAGTGCCAGCCCTTTCTACGTATTTTCACGGACGGGGAAAAACGCTTTGCCCGTTCGTCCGTGGAGAATCGGCGCGCTAAAAATTCTGCACACCTCGCCGGCTCGGCTCGTTTCAAAATAGCCGCATAAATAAAATGTGCAAACAAATAGCGAGCGCGTATATTCGTGGCAAATTCAATTAGAAAAGGTTACGACGTGTCACCGAACTTGAGGAAGCTAAATTTTTAATTACACGTGCATCGAATGTCTCTTGCAACCCGTCACTCGCATAATTAAGCGTTATATTAATTTTTATATTTATAGTACGATGCAAATGGGTTCAAAAATCTTTGCCGTCAGTCTGGTATAAATGAAATTAATGGCAAACTATTTTAGCAGAGGTACGTTATAAAGTATCACTGGCAAAGTAGCATGCGGAAGATATTTGCCTGCGTAAAGCGTTCTACCTCGATTTATTTTTCCCTCATGCACGAAAGCTACCCCTGAGTCATATTTCAGCAGCATTTTGGCGACAGGCCGCATAATAAACGCTAAGAAGGTAGCGTGAACGATGGTCGTACGTCGTTCCGATGACGTGGTGGTAGTAGAATTCGGTGATTCATCGGTCGTTCCTATTGATCTAAGTAAGCTAGATGGAAAGCCAAGACGCATCGTGCGGCGAAAATCCAGAGACATACACACGATGGACAGGGGGGTCGGTTTATTAGCTACAGGGTGGAGGGACGCGGGAGGCATCGGCACATCGTGCATTGAAAAAGAAAAGATGCGCAGGAACGGGGGAAAATCATAGTGTTACGTTGCGCAGTCGTCGGGAACCGTCGACGGACGTTATTGATTGCACACCAGCGAACAGGATAGAGGCGGGCAAGGGTAAACTGGCCCCTGTCGCGCAACGAAGAGGGTGAATCGAAATATACCCACTTTCTTAATGCACTCTATTGCTTTCGCTCGCTCTTTCGAAGCTCGATTGGAAATAGAATACAAATCAGAGATGCGACAGGAATTCACGTCGATGTCGCATGAAAAATTAATACCGCCTACGATTTCGTTCAACCCTCTCATTATTAAACCGGCGACGATTATGTAGTAACGGTTGTACGATTTCCTGCTAGATTTCACGAGAAACTAATTCTGGCATACATTTCTGCTGAAGCTCCATTCAAAACCTTCTGTATATGCTTCACTCGTATTAAAAAAAAAGCTCTGATACTTTTTTGTAAATCATCATAAATTGGTCATATGTAAAATAATGTGTCATTAAACCATTAAATTGGAAGTGTTTGTTACGGAATGAAATTCTTCGTCGAGTCTCTTTCTGAATCACAGCAGAGAGGCGTTTGCCCAACTTGAAACCTTCTTTGTGAGTCGGTTAAAAAACATACATCGATGATTAATGGAACAATGAGGAGAACCATTGAAAACGATTCAATGGCCTTATGCGACTCGATGGATTTCAGAAAAGTATACTCGACGAGCGGGCAAAGGACCGACTTTGAAGCGTGCACAGAGAACACGGAAAACGACAAAGAACCACGTTTTTCGCGGTAACGCTTTATTTACCACGCGCCGGATATCGAGCAACGTAATATTTTCCCGGTTTTTCGCCACGATCGAATTACAATAATACGTATCCCTATTTTTTTTTATTACATGGCTGAACCGACTTGAAAATTCGACGCGAGTTAACGAGTGCCTGTGCCATTACTCTTGAAAATGCTCGTTACTGCGCCAGAAAGCTACAGCTAGCGGATTAGAAAAAAACAGTTGAAAATCCCAGGCATGGAAACATTAAACCCCAGCAGAAAATTAAAAATGTAATTCCCGATTACCGAGTTCCGTTTAATTTGATACTTCATTTCAGAGTATCTAAAAATGCAATGCATTAAAACCATGCATTTCGAAACGATGCATAAAAATACTCTCAAGATTTTTCATGCATTACCCAATAAAGGAAACCTCAAGAGTTTGAAGCATCTAAACTTATTCCATCGTAATAATATAATAATAAAAATCTCTATGTATAATGCATTCATTTTTCTTTTAATTCGGTGGATACGAACGGTTCCACACGTTTGCAAATGCTAAGAGCTTATCCGTTTGGAGTAAAGCAAAGATGGTTGAAAGAATGAAAGTAATGGTTGTATGAGAGAATGTATATATACGTACGTTACGTACCTTTGAGGTGTTTCGGGCAGCACACGAATTCGACACCGGAGAAGAGCGATATTCCGCATGGAAGCAGCATCGCGAAACTTCGCAGATTCATGTTCCTCTCCCTGCACGTATCAGCTGCGGTCGCGTTCCATCTGGAACAGAGATTTTTCTCTTCTCGTTTTTTCCGCCACGATGCAATCCTTTATACAACACTCCCCAAAGGACTCGCGGCGAAAGGAAAGAATCAATCCTCTTAGCTGGAAATTAATTTCTTTCGGAGCGTGCCGGAGTAAACGATCGAAGAAAGCCGATTAACGGTGGCTGCGCGAAACTTGAAGAAACGTATTGGCTCCAGGGTGTGGAAACCAAGAATATTAGGTCGAGCGAACAGAAATTTCTAATTGAAAATTTTCTCTCGATTTTCATTAAACCTGACATATATTATATTTCTGCATTTCGACATTGGATCTATGATGACAATTTCCAGTCTGACCACAGAGATAGAAATCTGTAAATTGATTTGGTCGAAATAACGAGACATTGTAAACTACGTTGTATTATCAATTATCGATCAGGGAACCTCAATAAAGTGGAGTCATCAAGTTACATAGTGGCGAGTAACGTAAATCGATACATGGCCTCAACATCGTTCGTAGACGACGACGACGGCTTACCTGTGAGATTCCCAGCATTTCGTCTGATTGTGGAGGTGGTCGAAAAGGCAGCCTTCCGGAACGAGCAATGCGTCGCTTTGGAACGGTCCTTCTGTAAAACGAAGCTCGATAAAATCGAAATGGAAAACATTCGTGTCCACTGTTCTATACTATATTTAACTAATTTACATTTTTCAAATATACATATACAGAGCGAGTCAATAAGAAGTATTAGATACAATATATGAAATGTTGCATATTCATTTTTATTATAATATTTATAGGTGTACGGTGCAACGGATTAATCATGGTAGAAATCGCGTGCTATGGTGTGCAGGTCTCTACGTATGTACAGAGATCAATAGTTGTTTGCTTTCAACCCCCCTTAACGGCGCTCTGTCTCTCTACAACGCAGCCCCGACGACCCGAAGGAATCAATACGGCAGAAACTGCAAATCAGAGTGACTCGCTCCAGAGTTACACGTAAACTTGTGCACGGTGTTTTCTAAGGTGGCGGTCACGACCGTTCGTGCGCATTTGAACCCAGGCTAAATAATATAACTACCTTTGGCAAAAAGATCTTTACCAATAATATCACGAGTATTAAGCTTTAAAAAACAGAAATAGAGAGAGCAATTCATCGTTTCATACATTTTATTGCATATTGGATACTGGAACTTTGTGCGATTTATTACATACTACGTATGATATTTGATTAAAAACTTTTTGCCAGTAGCAGAAAAATGAAATGATTCTGATCTCTACGCAGTAGCAAAAGAAATAAAAAAAATTCCAATTACAAACTTGGGATATTTATGGGCAGAGGATGCTCGAAAGAGAAACCTGTTATTATGATAATTTAATAGGACACATAATTACGAACTCAAGGGAAGTGTATTAACGATTATAAGCTTTATTAAATCAGAAGATTCAGATAGTCGTGGAACAAGGAGATTTAAATTGTAAATGCATTAGCAAGATCGCATCGGTTATAATATTCTCAAAGGAAAAAACGACGGTGAAAATCTTCCTACCGGATGATTATTATACTCGAGGAATGATTGTCGGACGGAAATATTTTATACTTGGTAACGCGAGCTCGTGAAATGACATCGTGTGCTAATACCCACTTAATTAGAACCATGAACGACGGGCTGTAAAAGTTTTACGCGTTTAACGCGTACGACATTCGCTTTAATTCCTTATTAGGTTTTCATCATGAATCTCTTGCGTTATCCTTTAATTTTTAATCGCGTGATACGCACGTTATAAATGATGATAGCATCAAATTTGTACTCGATGTTCAAATATTCAGTGTCGTGTTTACACTTTTACTAAATGCAAATACATGGTAAAAGCTACCGAGTCAACATGTACGCTTCACGAAAAGTTAGCAAACACGCCTACGAATTTCATGCTTTCACTTTAAGATGTGAAGAACAATTATAATAATACTAGAGTCGTCGTTAGCCTATTTAAAATACCTTGATAGCGGGGATACGAAATTACTGTTCCTACTTCATTCATTCATGTTTAATTTCTAATTACCTCGGAGGACTCGAGACAGTATCAGAAGACTAAATAAACTGTGAAATGAAAACTAGAACGCTGTCTGCTTAAATTACCTATCAAGGAGCAATTTTGATGCTAATACGTACCGAGACATCTGTACGGCTTGACCCAACGTGACAATTTGCATTTAGTTCTTCCCGGCTTGCACCATCCGCTAACCCTCACGTAGTGCGACGACTCTACGATGTTGGTAATGTCTCTCTTTGGGTAAGCCTAAATACACAAGCAAGGATCCCAATCTTCTTCTTTTTCAGTTCCATTCACACGTTTCATCTTACTGACATATTTGTATTGGCACATATATGTTTTTCCTTAGACAAAAATCTTTTCTAAATAAAATAGTGACAATATGGCAATAACAATTGATATGCTTCGAATTCTATATTATTGATTGCCATAAAAAATGTGAAATTGCAGAATTTCAATACGACTGCCTATGGTTTCTAATCGTTCATTTCTGTTCATGAAATCGCAATGCGCCTTTCGTGCACTCGATGAGACTGCGATTGCTTGGCGGATATCGAAACGCTGTGATTTCCGTGAATTAATAACAAGCTGGTACACGCGCCGAACAAAATTGTGCAAATCGTATACTTTGTGCAATACACAATTGTTTTCGTGCTCAATCAAATCTTTTACGAATTTGCTAATTATACTAAGAAATTTTTGGAAAGTCTAATATAATTATTACATTGAAGATGAAATAATAAATCTTGTTAAATAAGAAAGATGCTCGTTGAAAACGTTTTTATGCAGTGTTTCAACAGAGGAAGTAGCAGAATGAACAGAGCTATTTGTCACGCAATGAACGGTATAAAAAAAAACAGTGAAGAAGATTCCAGAGGCTTACCTTCTTGCAGTAGTCAAGGATTTCAAGCTTGTCAGTCATGCAGCTCTTCTGGTCAGAAGAGGAGACCCAACGGCCCTGTTCGCCCATGTGCTGTGCCAAATACACCTCGCCGGCCTCGCATAATGTGGCCACCTTTGAAAATTCGCATAAACGCCTCGTCACCCAGCCTTGCATTTTATTCGTGACATATATGATTCATTGGAAATGTAAAATCAAATGTTTAATCCCTCGACCATCGGTTTTTTCAGCAAAATCCCAGTGAAAAATCACCGCTGTCTCTGGAAAAATGTCAGCCACGAAAGGAACGCCGGTTGGCTGCACGTCCAAACGTGAATTCCTGCGTTCCATTCGCAGGGAAATTCGCTTCCGCGGGGCTGAATATTTTTCCCATTTCCTCTTTTCCCGTTCGCGCCGCCGAACACAAAGGACAATTTTAATTCCGAGTAAATTGTGTACAGAGAAAATTGAATATTTCGTGTCTCGTTAGGCGAGCGCGGGAGGGAAACTCTGTGTGTTCCCGTCGAATGAATGGTTCGCGCGAGAGAAAAGGACAGATTCGAATGGAAGCGTGAGAGTGGGACTTCAGACGATCCTCGCGGTGAATTTTCGTCGGCGATGCGAAAATCGCGAGTGCGCGCGAGAACCTCGATGACATTCGTAAGGAAAAGGAAGCGTGCACTTTCGAGTGGGTACTCACCTGAGGCTCTGATCTTCCTCCAGCGGGTGCCAACTCGAGCCTCTCCGACACCGCCTGCAATGCAGAAAACCAACGATGAGAAATTCAGCTCACGTTGAAACCTCTAAGGAGAATTTACAAGCGTCGCCGCTCCCGCGGAATTTTCATCCGATTCATTCACAAAACTTTTCGTCTTATCCGGTTTGCCAAAATATGCAAAATCATTAGTTACCAACTCATTTGCATCGCATGTCATATTTATATATTAGAATAAAAATTAACATAATATTTCATATAACGGTTGATGCAACGACTGACACAATGTTAGATACAATTATAGACGAGTATGCTAATAATAAATAGTATAATGAAAATCTCACGTGAAACAAGCTTAAATAAGCTTTCGATGTCTCGACTAAAGGGAAATGTGTAAAACACTGAGACTCGTCATCACAAGCCCTCATGTTAAATAAAAAATGAATCAATGGAACAATAAACGTTTTGAATCCGGTGCAATCACGTTACTTCCGGTGCCTAAATTCCTAACCCGTTTAAACGGGCTCTCGAGCAATTCGGCCGAACCTTTTGCCGATATACAATGCCGACTATCGAAGGCCAGAACTCCGGCTCGAAGCCCGACAACACAGGAGAATTAGATCCCGGGCCCGTAATCGGTCGTACCTTGGGTGCCGTTGATTTAGTCATCTCGCCTCGGTTAATGACGTATTAACAGGCTATTGAGCGAGGATAGAGGGACCAAAGAGGAACGATCGATCCTCGTGACCGGTGAAAGGAGTTGAGGGCTTTACAAACTTATATAGTGTTAGAAGAACTTCAAAACTATTCTTTGTTCTTTGACAATTATCGTCTTGCAAATACATTAAAAATTATTATTCGAGCTGATACGATAATTTATTGTTTAATAATATTATGTATGAATTCATTATATGATGGAGATCATTAACTGAATTTATGTAAATCGTATTTCTGACTCGTTACGACGACATTATTGATCAGATTATTTATTATAGATTAGAACGTAAATATTATAGAATACTTTACTACTTTTAAAAAATGAGTAAAAAATGGTGAAAGGTAACTGTGATCGCGTGATCGGGGGACATTCTTCCTGGGTGTCGTGGCAATACGTGAATGAAATCGTTGGGTCTTGTCTCTAGGGAGAATGTCTTACGCTCCCTCGGAAACGGTACCGCTAATTGTCCTGATGCACCGTAATCACCATCGAACGACGTTCCCTTGCGGCAGATAGTTGTTACATTTCCCGCGTTTCCTACATACTGGTGTCATTCAGACGGAAAAACGAGAAAGCTCAAGCGAAAAGTCCACGTTTCGCAACTCTGTAGTACATCGCCGGTTATCGAGTAGTTAATTAAAATTTAGGCGATGAGCAATCTGATCACGTTCTCACTTTTATGTTACCTCAGAGTAGGATTGCGATCTTGATTTCTACCGTGGTAACGAAGTAGACAAACCGATAACAAGAAAAAAGTAATTTGCATGGTTTAATTCAGGAATTATCTTGCTTTCAAAAACGTCTCGACAGAAGAAGAAATCAAGGAGTTGAAAAGATTTAAAAAAATATGTAAATCCACGAAGAAGATTGAGTAAGTCTGAAAAGAAATCTGAGATCCATACTGGAAAGAGCAGTTGCTGTCATATAATTCGTTGAACAATCGGAACTACGTAGATAATCTGCATAAACGAACCTGGAAGTTTCTATGCAAAGGAATCACGGGGCTTTTCCGGGTACACTTTGCAAGAATGTAAAATTTGAAAGGGTTCCAAGGGGTCTTCAATTTCCGGCAGCCATCGCATTTTTGATAACTGAACTTTTTTCATGGACTGTGTCACCTACTTCGTCCACTACGATAATGTGATAAAGTTCCTTTACTCTTTTCACTTAATTTGATTTTCTTCAATTCAAGTTCTCGCTTTTTCAAGTGGAATTGCTAATTGGACCTCTAAAATTGCAGAATAATTACATGAAATATTGAAGATATAGCGTTTATGATATTTAATAGGCAGAACAATTTGCTGTCGAGATCTTTTAAGATCGTATTCTCAGAAGTATGAATTTGCAGAAAGACCTGCAGTCTGCTTACAATTCAATGCCGTAGGCTATTTTTTTTTTATTATGCTACAAATTGAGAGAACTGTTTTGAAGATGTACCCTATTGGATCTTAAACTTCGAATTATCGTCCGCTCTGCTGTATAATTCAACACGTTCACAATCTCTGTGCAATGCAGATCGTAAGAGGCACGAGCATTGCGCATGGGTAAGTATAATAACGGTGGAATTATTCAACAAATTGAGCAAACCCCGCCGATCTCTCGAGTATTCATCAAACTTTCAAAACCAATTTTCTCGAAAACGGAACCACCAACTTTATTTTACATTTCCTGTCTGTACAGCTCCGCCCATAATCTTCGCAACAAGCATAATTGCGACAAACATACTTTTATGATTGTGCCGTTGGGTCTCGCAAAATAAAAAGTTCATACACTATTTATTACTAGTTTGATATAAAAATAATTTAAAAAAAATATTATTCTACGCAACACGCAGCTATATTCTATTTTAGATAACGGTAGGTGATTCTTAGCGTCTTAGACGTTACTCTTATTACATACTCTAAGGAGAAGGCAAAGAGAGATCATGACGTACATCTCCGTATATTCCGTGACGACGTCTGCGCCAGCATAACTCGCCAGACACACCTTACGAATGTATTAACCGTAGTCGAGGCATTATTCTAATTGCTCTCTAATAGACGGGTCGCGGACACTTACGCGAATTCGTACTTTTGTAATTCAACACTTCAGCTCGTTCGTTGCTCTCTCTAATTCATATTGTATTTTAAAAATCATCATTTCAGGAACGATCTTTTGTAGACTGAAATGGACGTAGAATGAAACTAAAATCTTCATCTGATTCAGAACACTGGCACAAGTACTAAGTACTATTATAAAACTGTTTCATTGTCTCGTTGTACAATATTTTGTTTCAATTAAAGCATGAAAAAGTACTATTGGATGTAAAAATGAAAACTAAAGGTAAAATATTCTTTCAGTGAGGTAAAATATTCTTTCATGTTACAATTGAATAATACATAAAAATTGAAAATCGCTTACGCATGCATTCTTTGTTTGGCGTTAAATAATTATTTGGTGAAATACATTTGTATAGCATTTTGTTATACGTTTATTTATTTTCGAAAAACACGATACATGTTAGCTGAGAATCGTCTTTACAATTTATGTCTCATACGATTCGTTTTTCATTGCAAATCAACCGCATATATTTATGACTCTACAAAATGCAAACAAAGCTTGTAAAAAAGATCGATTGTTACGAATAACGTGTCTCAAAAATTAATGTAAATAAATGGTAACAATATGTATGTCACCTTTTAAACTGTCGATTTTATGCGAAATAAAAATTTGTGACATCAATATAGAAAATGCAATCTAGATAGGAATATGTTTTCCTTAAATTATTATTTTTTTTATTTTTTAATATTAAAGCAATCCTAGCGCTCATTAGGGAATGCAGAGATGTGTCTTAAAAATGACTAAATTTTGATAGACAAATGAATGGAAACAAATTTTGGTATTTTTATTTCACGACCAATTCTGGGAATGATTAGTTGACATCGGCAGTTACCATCTGTTTCTTTTAATAATTTAATACCTGTGCTAATGAACGTTACGATTTTATAAACAACTAAATCTTGGAAATGCACATAATACTCGATTTTTCTAATAAAAGGTGTCAAGAGCTTGGTGGATCTTGAAATAAAGACAATTCCCCCGGTTCCGGCTTATCCCGTTACATGGGAAGAAAAGCAAACCAGACAACACAGACAGAACGATCAATAGGAATTCTCAACTATCCTCAAACAACCGTGGCCCGAACCATTTACTTCGGCCAACAATCTCTGCTCTGCTCCCTTTTCAAACGGTTCCAATCTATTCCGTGGCAGCGCACCTACCTAGCTTGCAGAACAAATCCCGGCGTTTTCATTTGCACGGCGTGGCGTGCACCACGCCGGGGATCGATCGACATTTTCACTACTTTTCGTCTCGAACACGGCCGGCAGTAACGCCTGGAACGATTTCACGTTTACGCGCGTTCCACGCTTTTAAAACCGATCTCCTTTTCTCCCGCCAAGTGTCGAACCAGCTTTCCGAGTCTCTCGGGTATATTATGCGATACTCTGGATTCCAGGTGTGCGTACACAATTCCGTGACGTTGTCTATGCACGCCTTTTCAAGTCCTACTGGTGACAAATGAACAGAAAATATGCAATATTTTCATCTTTCGATCATCAGTTTCTTGCAACTATCGACGGGAAATAAAATGAGACATGTAACATGTACTGTTTTTTATAATTATTATTTCGAACAATTTTTTGTAAGTAGGCTGCAGAATTAATAGAATAATTCATAAGAGCAATGGCTATCTAGATCTGACTTTTGTCGACGGTCATCAGAAATGTTCTATAAAGATAAGAAACCGGAGTAAAAACGAAAAGAAATGTTCTGAGGAAGATGAAGGAAGAAAAGATGGAAGATTGTTTCACAGTCTCCTTTGACACGCGGGAGCGCAGCCCTTTAAAGCTGATTAGTCGATGTTTTATATAAGATTCGATCTAAGTGGATTTACTTAATGCACTTAAAGCGGAATCTGACCGCAGAACCTTAAGGAGCTTCGGCCACACGCGACACCGCACGGACACCCGAGTTTTCAGACGCTGACGCACCGAAACGGGACCCTCGTTCCCTTTCTTTAAGATATGCTCCGGCGCACTTGTGCATCCTCGGCGCATGAAGCCTCGGGCTCGAGACGCGTACGAAACTTTCTCGATGAAGTGGCTGGCTGGCTGGTTTCTTTGGAAACGTGCTGCCGAGTTAAAGTCTGAATAGGTTCGATTAACGTTGCGTTAAGCTTACTCCACGTTGAACTCGTTAGTTACTTTGAATGAATCTTAGAACGGATTAATTAAGAAATCAGATTGAAACGTCTTAGAAAAATTGCATGAATTCGTTCATTCTCTCTAAACGGTTTTGATTAATACTTTACAGACTGGATGAGTTCTCTGTTTCATTTCAAAACTACTAATGAATTCAATATTTCATGCTTCAGACATCGGAAGATGAATTAATCAAATGTTAGTATTTACGAAAAGCATTCTTCCAGTTTGGAATATAAAAGGAATAAAATTTGTTCTTCATTTAGTACAAAGCGAGAGAAGAACTTCGTAATCACTGCAACAAATTACAAACACCGTGTTGTACAGAGGAGCTGCAATTAGTGCGCGTCTAGCGGAAAGCATGTGCATACGTATCGTTAATTATTATTTCTATACATCCTGTTATCTATCCGAAAGCAAGTTTAATTATCAAAATTTTTATAAAAAACACTGTTATTCTTTATAAAAGATTTTTAAAAATGTGATGTTTCGAACGAGAGAAAATAATTGCGTGTAATAGACGCATGCAACAGTCTGGTTAAAGTGGTCAATTTAAAAAGCGTAGACTTCCGTGGCCTATATTACAACAGGAATACATAACAATTCGCAGATTTCCACAACCATGAGCTAAAATAAAACAGCGCTGGGTAAAAGCAGACGATTATTACGACAATGTTCGCAATTATTCGTCCACAATTGTTTCGACGGAACGAGTTCGGTCACAAATCCGATTCTCCGTCGCAGCGGCAACCCCGTATTTTCATACGTTTAATTAATTTGTAATCAGATTCTCGTTTGCTTGTCGGAATTATAATTATTTTAATCCGAAGATAGCGAGCTGACAATTATATCATTATGAATGTACCAGGGGACAGAATATCTTTCGATCAATTCCCGGATACTGACATGAAAATGCAATTGAAAGATGTAACATTTCTCTGTCATGAATTGAACGTTATAGAAAATTCATGTACTTACTAAATGCATATACTTTATGAAATATACAAAATAGTTAGGACTGAATTATGTTACAGAATTTAGAAAATGAAACTCTATTTCTTCTTTCCTATGAGCGATTTATAGAAAAACGTGATTAACTCGTCTTATGGATATAAAAATGTCAAATTGAGATTTTATAATCCCCAGTGATTGATGCTAATGCAAATGATAAAATTTAGGTCGTGGTGCTGTTAATTTAGAAGCACTGTAACTTCTTCACGTCACCGTCTGTTATCCGAATGACCCTTGCGAGCGCTCCGGCGATTTATTAACACTGTATTGTTAAACCTCTTGAAACAATTCGCATAACGTTGCACCAAGTCGAGGGGTTGTCCTAGCTGCTACAGTCTACAGAAAGGTTGCTGTTCTCTTGTTCCATGTTCAGAAAGCTCCTAACGACGAAAATCAAGAAATTATCGTGGTTCTTTGACTGATTTCTTTCGACTGTTGAAAAGTCTTAATCTCTGATAACATTAGAATCCTATTTATTCTTAATTAAAGATATGATATCACTCAATCACCATGATTGTCATTGGATGCGTCCTTTTCATTTTTCTCAATCATTTCATTGCCATAGTTATCAACTATATAAAATTGAAATTATTTAACTTGTAATACGATTCATGGGGTATACTGCGTTGTTTTATTTCTTCAATGATTAATTAAATACATACATGGTGTTTCATGTGTGAAATCCGCGTCCAACTAATGCAATACAGTGCAGAGCCACGCAAATGAATTGAGCAATTAAGGGGTTTTCGCCACTAGAGGAAATGAAAAATCGATTTTCCTTCTGACCCGCTGAATAGTTTGGAAACATTTTACGCCTCCTCTCGCGTCGAAAAATAACGGGAGCGTGATTTTTTTTGCGCGACGCTTCGTTGGTGTTGAGGATATTAAAAATGATGTGTATCGTTTTTATTGCAGAACGCGAGTAACCACGCGTGCTTAAATACAGAAGAGCGTACGAAGAAATTCTTATACAAAACAATATTTCACCTCCGTTTTTCACGCGGGCTTCATTGCAAGATTCCTAGTGTTTAAAAAATCTAGGAAAAATGTCTGGCACTTTTGCACCGCGTTATTCCTATCTTTTTATCTAAGTGTGACCTACATGAATAGATGCGGGAAGATTGCTCGGACAATAAAGAGCATAATAATGGTTCGCAAGATTGCATGTTTCCGCGAGCATCGTTCATTTTCAAAGTAATCGCAGTTTCCCATCAAAAATATGTTCTGTCATCCTGATTCAACGTCGCACGATATTTTATGCACGGAACGTGTTAACACGATAAATATTAAATATCACTTTCACATTGTTTCTCGTTTTGCATTTGAATTCGATCTAATACGCGACGGATCGTTTATCGTTCATCAACGTTCTAATAATAACAGTACACACACCATTGATCGCCGGATTAATACGTGACTTATTAATTAAACCGGCGAAACAAGAACAGGAGATGAAATAAAAAAGAAACAGGTGAATAAAGGACGCGAGAAGACGACGTGAAAGGTGACCTTAAAAGAATCTGCATCGAAAATGAAAAATGCATTGAAACTCTTTCGTCCTCATTTACTCGGTGCTCCATTACCGGAGCATTTTCCCTGGTGCGGCAGCATGGGGACAAGGAGCCGCATTTAAGCGACGGAATATCTTTTTTTTTTATCCCGTTGAAAACCGGGTGAAAATGGGACCGCGGGAAATGAGGAAACATCGAAAAGCGCGAAGGAAAAACCTTTGACTGTGCGTTTCAATCATGCGACACCGCGCACGTTTAAACAGATCTAGGTGAAGATCGTAATTGCGTTCAACTAGCGGCGTTAAACTGCGTCCCGCAACATTTACTGATTTCTAAACCTGTTCATTTGTATTTTAAAAAATGAAATTATGTTTCTATCTTATAGATACGTACCATCGTCCTGATAAAAACTGACAACGAAGTATGTATGATACATTCATTAGATGTTGCAATTAGATTTATATCATGTAATTTCGTCGAAGAAATAAATCAATGAAGGGCTATTAAAAACAGTGGTTACTATTACAATCAGTGCCATTATATGATTTATTATTTCCAATCTAAAAAGCACGATGCACCGTTTGAACCTAGTTTTTGATTACTTAGCTAGTACGATTGTATCTTGCTGATGATAACGTAAATCGAACTATCCGAGGTAACGAACGATAATTGCAAATCCATTTCGCGACTTACGTTATTTGCAATCTGTGCTTTGTCTCTGGCCAACGGTTTCGCCTATGTGCGTTCGTGCGTGATAATTTGCGCATACACAAGGTTACTCCCCCGAGAGATACGTACATAGGTGCGCTTTGAAAACGTTTTAAAAGCAAGCGCTTCCTAAGGACCGTGCCTCTTTCTTTTTTTCCATCCCCGATAAAAAGAACACACCGAAACTAACGCACCGTGCAGCCTCGGTTCACCGTGGACACTTTGGCCAACGAGAATTTTTCTATTCAGATTCTTCCCCGAGATATAGATTTGTAGAGTGCAGAATTCTGTTGCAATAAACGTTTCTGCTAGTTGACAAAATGATCTTCTCTCGTGGTACTTGTTATAAATAAACGAAGTCCGCAGTCTGCTAATTATCTCATTAATTTTGTTACAGTGAAAAGTATCAATGAATCATAAAATCAATGACGACAGGATATTAAAGCGCAATCCGTGAATATTCATAACGAGTTCGATTTAGAAGACTGTCAAACCCTAAGACTCTAAAGCGTGAGATTTCATCTCGAGCGAAACGTGATCGATCGAAGCATGAATTCGATGATCAGGGAAGAGACGGCGAGGTGTATGTATGAAAAAAATGTTGATTAGAATCATCGCATGGCGATAAGTGACATTAACGATGAAAATAGCCAGTAAAGTGGCGAGGACAGGATATTGTGCGGTATACAGTGTCAGATTCGATTAATGCCGCTCGGTCGCATGGAAAGAGCGTTGGAGTACGGGTAGGCGGTTGATCGCGCTACTCCTCGAAGGCAAACATTCTCGCCGCGAGGCGCACGTAAAACAGTGTTAGCCGTCGATCGTTACTGCACCAGTATAATGCACTCTGACTCTGGAAAACGAGGAGCTTCGCGTATATAGCATCGATCCGCGACTGTTTGACAGGTACTACCGCTTCGCTTAATCAATCGAGAAGAAATTTCACGGGATGAGCTGAGTACACAGCGGTACATCGATCGCGGTGCGCGTTGCGCGTGACATTTGATTGATAAAAAGAAGGTGAGTAAAAGTTGTCGGGATCGATCGATCCGAAAATTCGGGTCTCGTCGATTCTCACCGTTCTCCACTCCCGTTCGTGTGACTACATTTTTCGTTCCACCTTGACGTCGTTACTCACCTGGACCCGGCAGACCATCAAGACGCCCAGCAGTGCTGGCACCAGCATCCCCTTCCACATCTTTCCTCCTCGAGCTTTATTAAACACTCGTTCGCCGGTGCTCGTTCAGTTTTCGATCAAACGATAAATGTCCTTCGACGGAAAAACGATAACGCACTGATCTCGAACGTCCAGTAAGTAACTTTTGAAGGAAACAATTCGCTGTGACACCACTCACCCACCGTGTATACGAGAGCGCAGCGTACTACTGTGACACTGCTGCTGGCTGGGTGGGTCGCTTCATGGGAGATCAAGATGGTGGAGGCGCGGGTGCCGCTGAAACGATTCCGACCAATCCCAAAGAGTCACCAGATGTCCGCGCCGGAGAACATGTTCACATGCGCGCAACGGCGAGTCGATAACGTGGCGGGAATATCAGCCTTTCAAACCAGTGCAATTTTCAATCGTTCCATGGAAGAATACACTGATTTTAATTACAATTAATTGATTAAATTGTATTCGTTTGTATAACATCAATTTTATAGTATAGAGGAAATATCGACCTTACTTTTATAAAGCGTAAGTTTAGTAAATATTCGAATTCCTGTTCATGTCGCAAATTCTACTCGCAGGCGTATTTTACTTTTAATTTTATGCGTTATCTTAAAATTATAGAACAATAAGCCAATGAGCAGAAATTGTGACGTGAAAGGAAACTGGGACATTTACCATTAAGAAAGAATGCAACGAATTATTTAGATAATTATCTTGATCATTCAGTTAATTGTTTCAATAAGTGACTGATATAGCACATTATAAATTAGTTTCACCAATATTTGAAGACCACAGGTGAAACTTCGTATAATATTTTTTAACATTTCACCATTTCGGAGAATTTCATAAAATGTGTAAATAGAAATCGAAAAACAAATTCGGTGTATAGTAAAAAATTTACATGTATAGCCGCGTTCAATCCATCTATCGAGTTTTCATACGTTCTGCCGTTTATACACATATCTGTTTTCCCGAAAAATATTTCGAAAAACATCTATCACAGTACAACCTGTACGACAGAAACACTTCAAACGTAATAAAAACTGCTATTATTAAACTGCGGAATTGAAAAATTGAGCTCGCATGTAACATGCAAAACAAGCATCAAAGGCTGTATGCTCTTTAAACCACATTTTCTCCTAAACGTTGTATAAAAATCTACAATCTAGTTATGAGCGATACATCTGTCCTTAATAAAATTGATAAGAAGATAAGTTAATTATTATTAAAGTAAACCTCAACCGAATGATAATTATGCGTGAACGTATAGTATGTATAATTATTATCCGAGACATGTATTATTGCTTATTATCGTTCTGAATCAATACGCGGTTGACAGCGCATAATTGCATAAATATTCGGTTGCATGGCGAATTCAATCCATCCATATTTCAAGCATTTTGCGCGTGTGCTCGATGCGGTCAGCCGAAGCGTCCAGCACACGTATAAAAAGCCTAACTAATGCCAATCGATTAGAAAGTTTGGCGCGTCATCCGTCGCAGTCGACCGATACCTCCAGAATGTATCAGAAAGAAAGGGCAAGGAAAAAATACGTATCGCCTGAGAAATTAGAAATGAATACATGAAAGCTGAATGCCCGTTTCTAAAATCATAGATCTGAAGCATGAATCACGTTTAAAAATTTGCAGTTGCGTCGGTGACGGCGCTATTAATATACAGAGAATGATGCCGTGACATCATTGATATTCGTTTCTAATGCCTTCCTACGATGCGTAATCGAGGCGAGGCCGGAGAGTTGAATAAAAAACAAATCGAACGGTACTCTAATGAATAGCAATGATTACACCCAATCATTTTTTTCTCCTGCAATTCTCCTAGATAGGTCGAGGATTTTTTAAATCGAATACATTCATTATATGAGTGCACGCTTGGTTTGTAGTAATTTTTACGGTTTTAAGATCCATGTGCCGCCTTATCAAAGTCTCAGAAAATTTCATTTTGTTAAAAACCTTGGATCCATCGAATTTTTCTATTTTTCTTCTAAACCAGCAGACACGGGAAAATTACACATTCCTCGAGGCTTTATCTGTTTTCTTTCTGGCTCTCGTTCCTTTTATTTTGATTCTCTCATCTTTTTTTCTTTTTTTTTTTGAGAAGAACATGAAAACGCACGAGCAGATAGCCTTGGCCCATACCTTTACCCGTGTGTCGGCCACCGTACCCACCGGTTACCCTGGAAACGGTATCGATTTCAACCCTCAGCTATGCAGTAGAAACCAGCGGCACACCATGGGAGTCTCTTCGTCCCGAGTTTCGACAAGACAGCCCGTTTAAACTACCCGATTACACCAGCCTCCATCTCTATTACCGCCTTACATTTCGTTTCGCGTTAAATCAAGACCCTTTACAATGTTACGCGACACGGAAACTTCCAACATTAGAAGTTATTGCGGCGCCAATTGATCAAACGTCTCGTATATTACCAGCGAAGTACCTACAGGGACGGTTTTTACAACATAATTTACAAGTTCCTAGATAGTAGCCCCTCGTAATTGCACTACCGGCATCTCAGGCAATTGTTGACGAAAAATTGAACGTTGACTACATTTTTGTACCTTTAACTTTTGCTTCGTACGCTACTGCTCTTAGAATTCTTCTATATAGCAACGTGTTTACTTATGCTAATGCAAAACTTCTTTGTACGAAGATGTAACGTGCTTATGAGGGAACGTTGCATTCGGTCGAAAATTAAGCACACTGTCTGAGTAGTGTAGTCCAAATAATCCAGCGTTCCGACCATGTCTATAAAGAATTTAATTAATCTCGTGAATATTTTTTTGTGTTACACAAATTCGTGAGACTGCTTCTACTTTTGTGATGAACCCACGTTATCAGATTCATTCAACGGGTAGTTTCATTTTTAATTAATTAATCAGCTTGCAATTTGTTACTAAATACACCTAGAATTACGCCGGTGATGAGATGCCCCAGTTTATATTTTGAAGCAAATAAAAGACCAGCGCAAAACGACTTCCCGGCGTGTAATGGAAAATTTTAATTCTAATGACACGACTTTAAAAAATAAACTAGACTGAATGCACCTTGCATTGATTAAGGCGAAAGAAACCATTTCTGTTAAATGTATAATTAGTATATTTTATTGCATACAGTATACAGGAGTAATTATAAAATCACTATTCGGCGGATCGATGAGTATAAATATGTCCCAGAGTTAATATCTTCTCATATTTTTGGAAGCTGGTATAATCCGCAAACTTTGTTAGCTGGTACAGCTTTGTCTAAAAGGGCAAACAAATGTTCATTATAGATATCTGAAAATACGGTAGACCGTTTGCATATCAAGCTCCCACGTGATAATGGATTAAACTGCTTAAGAAATTGTATGTACCGATCATTTTCGGGTACGCAAGATTAAGATTCTTCATTATCTCGACAAATTCATCCAGAGATTTAGTTAATCTTGGATTAAAGGCCTTCTCTTCGGCCACTGTGGTCACCGTCCTTCCGGAGTAATCGTGGGCCGGATATAGTCTATAATTCGGTGGCAACGAGAAAATTTTCGAGTGCACAGACTTGTACAAAACTTCTGGAGAGCCACCCTGCAATAAGACGATGAAACATTCATCAATAAGTATTTCGTGAAGTACTTAATAATGATTTCTCTTAGCGCGTCCACGAGTGTTTTGAATTAAAGAAGAAACTATTTTATTCAACCGAATCGGAATATGAAATCTTAGTAGATCCTGAGTTTAATGTCGATGCGGCAACGCTCTTAAAGGTGTCAGCATCTAAATAACTGATGCGCACCACCACGGAGGGGTTGTAACGTATATCGAGCATCTACAATTTTATGTCAGCACATTTTCCGTACATGCATATGCAAAACGGTCGAATTTCAAAACTGGATGACCCCTCGTAGTCAACAAATGGAATTACAACATTTTCGACGTTGATTAATCAATGACCAGAGTATGAATGATAAAACAAACCTGGAAATCTGTTCGACCACATCCTCGTATTAAAAGAGCGTCGCCTGTGAATGCGACGCCCTGCTCGTCGCAGACATAAGTAACGCAACCTAATAAAATATGAATTTATCGATTATGAGTATACCGGAACATGATGTCACTTTTTCTACGCTAGCACGGAACTCTAAAAAATATCCATGAAATTGTTATATGGAATTCTTAACGAAACACCTTTGACATTCGCGTTACTTCTTTCTAAGCGTTTATCTAACTTTAGATTCATGCAATGTCTTGATCACTGTTAATGTCGAGAGTACAAAAGAAAATAGCAGACCTTCGGTGTGTCCGGGTGTGGGCAACACCCGTAATTTATGCCTGCCGAAGCTTATTTGGTCATCCGGATCCAAGAGTATATCGGCCTCAGCGCCGCTGGTACGTGATATCATTGACTGGCAGCCAGGTAACAAACACTTCAGCCTTCCTGTTCCGGTGATATGATCGGCGTGCATGTGCGTATTTACTGCAAAAGGTGGTTTCCCGGAGTGTTATCGGTCATCGCACGGCAAGTGTACCAAACCCGATAAGGAATTCATTAAAGAATTGTAGGATTTCGTCGCCGGGTCGAGCCAGACGTTTTCATTAATTTTAAGGGCTCGAACGTAAACGCGAACCGGCGAGATCCATTTTAATTATTAAGTTTTTCAATTACACCGGTGTGCAAACTTCGAAAATACGACAAAGAAAAAGTTGACGGAACTGAATCAAGAAAAATGATAACGAAGAGAGCATGGCAAAGTGTTCAATCCAATTTTCCTCCTTCATATTGAACACTCGATCCAACAAGTATCTCGCATTCATTTAATTTTCATGAATAAATTAATCAAGATAAAGAGACACATGTAATTGCATAGCTTTGGAACTAGCTATGACATTTTAATTGATTGGCATGTAATTAAATGTTTTCAGAAGAAGGCTTTTACGGCTCACTTTGACGTAACAATTATGCGTACGGTTCCCTTGATAACACTTGTGCTTCATTAAATTACTGAATCACAGGACTTAATAGACTCTAGTTGAGAAGTTCCAACCGACGATCGTTTTCGTCATGTACACGTGAAAATCAGTGAAACTGTCGCATTTCACGATCTTTAAACTGACGCGCATTCCTCCGGGGCGGCATAATCAGATTGAAACAATCGCCCGTTAATTTAGCTGTTCCGTTTGTCTCAATTGGAACGAGCTCGCGGAATAATACAATTTAAACAGACAATTTTACATGCAAACAAGATTTGATGCGCCTCGCTCGTCCAGAAGTCGTGCTACAAAGCTATACATATAATACCTTTCAAAACTGTTTATTTTTAATAAATACATTTCCATCGCAATGAATACTTGATTTGATCGATCAAAATCCATTATAATTCGCCGCTGTTGGCGCACGTTTGCGCGGAATTAATGTAAATTTATACAGCGATGTAATTCAAGAGAGCCTAATACGATGATTAATTAAAAGCTAACATAATCAATATTACATCGACGGCGGAGCGAATTCAATTATTTCGATAATGCGGCACTCGTCACCGTATAAACTTCAATAAAAAACTACACGGTCGTCGGCAAATTATTTCTTCAAACATTTCCACCTTTTAAAGCACTTTTAATGTACTACCCTCGGGAAACTTAAAATGAAAAACGTTAAATCGTGTTCTAATAAATTATATACGCGCGCGAATGATTTTCAAAAATGATCCTCGGGAATGAAATTTCTCGCATGGGAAAATATTACGCCAGAATACGTTTTGTGCGTTTACATTTTAAACAAAAGAAGCGGTCTCAACCTGTTTCCAGTTTTATCAGGACGTCGACGATTACAGAGAATAGAAGTTAATTAAGTTATGACTTACTAGCGTATTTTAACGTTAATCCCAAATCCTGAATGATGGTCTTATCACGTTCGGCCCATTCGATAACCGGATCAATGAAGATCGCGGTCTTATCGTTGATATCAGCCAACAGATAAGTGTACGTACTGGATACTGGATCGAAGAACTAAAAAATTCAATCAAAAAGACGAATGCTCGCAGAAGGTTGAAGGGATCTGGCGAAATGAATTTTTAACTATTTATTGCAATACTAATGATTCTAATGTTATTATGGCATGTTAAAAAACAAGAATTCGGTAGTGAAAAAGGAGTGAGTGTATTATGTCTCATAAATTATGCAATATTAATTACTGGAATTAGCAAGTAACTTGAGGAACAACTTCAAATTTCGTGATCCCTAATGGACCTGACAAATTGTTATGAAGTTGCAATATAATTAAATACTCCTTCCCTTTCCCTTCATCGAACTACCGTAACTTCGCTAACTACTTTAAGAATATCTATATATCTTTTCGCTATCATCATTTTTCGCTTATAAGTTTATAACACGTTGTAACAAATTTCGCAACATATTTTCAATTTTCTTAAATAACTTCATGCTCCTAGAATACTGCAGATTAATCAATATATCTATTAGAGTACAAAATAGAAATATATTAAAATTGAAATATAATATCAATTATATATCAATTAAAATAGGAGTATAAGTAATACAAATAAGGTGAGAGTCAGGTTTATCGAATTTTTTATTTAAAAATCGATTTTCTAAAATCATACTATTTAAACAACCGCTAGATGTCAGCATAATGCCAGCACCAGACTGTAGAGTAACATTGTACAGTGAAACAAAATCTGCGATTATTGACTTACTTGACGGAAGAGAAAATCCTTCGAGAGCGGGATCGTTTCGGTTAGCACTGAACATTTGCCATTAGATTGATTGTGAGACATGATTAAATTACATTTGCAAAATGAAACCTTTATATTTCGTCGACTCAAACTCTTAAATAAAATATTGATCATGTCTACGATAAGGAGTGGTCGATTTTATATTCGCACGTGACGTACGCGAATTATAACTTCTATAACAACATGACTGGCCTACTGACATTCAAGCACTGACGTTTATAAGGCTCGAAATAATGACGTACCAATAAAGATGCGTATCATTTTACTGATTGTTCAATCTTGCGCAAGATTACGTTATTTCTTATTTGTCATTATATATATCATCGTTCATATANTGATAGAATTTACTAGATTACTGTAGCATTCGTGATTACAATAATACACGTGTGGTAAACGTGTAACATTCACGATTAATATCGTTCTATAATTATTCTCAATTTGCCCAGATGCCTTCCGTGACGCTTAAAGACGTTGATCAGCACAAGTTCGTGAAAGCTTTTGCCGCGTTCCTGAAGAAGTAAGTAATTGTTTCCACGTAAACTTATCTAACCTCAAAAGTGAGCTTCGCGATCATAGACATGAGATGAGACAAAGCATCCACTGTATATTTGTTGACCCCGTACGAGAGAGAGAGAGAGAGAGAGAGAGAACATTGTTTTTGGTAGAGTTTCGATCTCTCTTTCGTATGCTGATGGAAAAAAAAGAAATGCCCATTCATTTTCTTTTAATCGCCTGGTTTCAAGTAGGTCATTTGAACGTTCGGTGTATTCTCATATGTCTATGTTTACAATTTATATGAAAGTTTAACTCGTTTACAATGTTTGTTAATTTAATAATTTTAGGACCGGCAAAATGCGAGTTCCTGAATGGGTTGACATTGTAAAATCTGCACGTTTCAAGGAACTTGCACCCTACGATCCTGACTGGTATTACATCAGGTGTGCTGCCTTGGTTCGTCACATTTACATCCGTAGCCCAATCGGCGTTGGTGCAGTAACAAAAATCTTTGGCGGACGTAAAAGGAATGGCACCCATCCCAGCCATTTCTGCAGATCAGCCGGTGGTGTTGCTAGGAAAGCTCTCCAGAGTTTGGAGCAACTTAAACTGATTGAGAAAGCACCACTTGGTGGGCGCAAGCTTACCAGCCAAGGGCGCAGAGACTTGGATCGCATTGCTGCCCAAGTCAAGGCAAAAAGCAAAAAACAAATGAAATTGCAGGAAACACTTGTTCTTTAATCTACCCATTTATAAAATAAAAATGAAAAATCCATACATTGATAGTTTTATTATCATATGCACCTTATTTAGTCTTAAGTTTATATCTTATTCCCTGTATTTGTGAATTATATATACGCGGTTTTTATTAACTATGTAGAAGACGTGAGAATTTATAAATTGAGAGATAGTTAGGATAATGTTTAACTAGATGGTAGCACAGTTGATTAACGCGATTGTCCATCATGCTAAGCGAGAACTTAATGGTGAAGGTACGTGCGTCAGCAGCGCCTCCTCAGTAAAACTTGAACCGTGAAGGAAAACGTTTCGGGTACCGATCAGTGGTTTGATCGAGTTTAAGTACGAATTGGGTTTTTATCGAGGACGCAGCCGCGTACACACGCACGAGACACAGTGTGTATGCATCGCGGACCGCGTGTACAGAAAGCGAAATATGTTTCCTCCCTGCGGGCGTGGGAAACTGCGAGCTATCATCAAAATGTTAAGGAAATAATCGTGTCGCGCAAAGTGTCTCTCGCTGGCAGAGAAGACAGAACACCCGTGCCCGTGTGCTCAAAGTTTCTATCTCTCTCAACCCCTGTTCCCTCTCCTTATTCTCTTTGTGTCCCTCTCCCCACCCTTGTGGCGCTTCTCTCCGGGCCCGTACGTTCATCGCACCGGGTCGACGTCGACGTCGTCGACGACGTTTACCGCGAAACGGTATTGGGAGGAGACAAAAAGAAGGTGACAGCCCTCCCGCGGAATTTATGGTGCGCACCGGAGAAACGGTAAAGTGAGTGGTAACTACGGAGAGTGAAGTGAGAGTGCCACCGACGACGGTGTATACACACGGAACGACTGCGTCCGTTTCGAGACCGGTAACAAATTTCGGGGTATCTCCCCGTGATTCCGGCCAATATAGGTGGAAAGAGGGAAAAAATGCCGGGCCTAATCGCCGTTAGCGAGTTCGTCGAGGAGACGAGGGAGGATTACAATTCGCCCACCACGTCCACCTTCGTCTCGCGAATGCCACAATGCAGACAGACAATCACATCCCTCGAAGAGGTATGTCTCTTCCTTTATTCAACGTTCTCGAAACGAGAGATCTCAACATTCAACGATAAATTATTTATCATGCGAACAAGCAGGCATTGACACGCTTTCGGTCTGAATTCGTTCGCGTCGATTAACTTCTGCACAGGGCATAGACAAACGTGTTTCCGATATTTTTTATTATTCAATTCCCTATAGCATAGTGGGAAATCGCTTTTGACAATTCGTTCAAGATTCGAGAGATAGATTTTAAATAACCACTCTTCGACTAACCTTGCCGAGCGCGTGTTCCGATGCGTGGGCGTTTCACAATCATGGATATGCCTTACTTAGGATATACCATGACTAGTGCAACGATTTTTCTATGCAACACGCATTGCATTCAGCCTGTTCGCAAAGTGCAACGAAAGCGCATGAAACTTTTATTCCTCGGTTACTTACTCCAACCTGTCAGTGTCTATGTACCGATGATGTAAAGACTTATCGCATTTCGATTCAGTATTTCCAATTCAGGCGATTCGAGGCACGCTGTCACTGCTGCATTCCGTAAAGGGAAAAATAGCGATTCGCGATGAATCTCTAATCGTACCCATCCGGATTTATGCTTTTTCTTGGTCATTAAACGCATGCTTCGCTCGCAATATGTATACGTATAGAGATATCGATGCTATGTATTTAATTAAAAATGTTCAAAACGTGTTACCTGCCGTGAATCGGATTAATTAGCAGGATAACGAACGCGCGTCTTAAACTCGAAACGCTCGTATCTCGTCAAATACATCTCCCGCGATTCTTTCATGCAGATGTGGGTAATGGAGTCTTTTGTAATAACGAACCATAATGTGGCAACATAATTATCCGCAAAGAATGTTATTGCGCGAACGCTTTCGTAATTTAACAGCCATCGTAATTGTTGCGGGTTGAACTACCTACAAGTAGAAATCTATTTGACTTATGCTTCGAATACAATCAAATGCATTTTTCTGTCGAATTGAGCACGGAATATCGATAGCTATTCTCTTAATTAAGCGTCAATCCAATTCACTCTCGCATGTTTATTTGAAAACCGTCTCAAAATCATATTACAAATACATGAAACACGAATCCCAGAGAACATTCTACAAATATCTGTCAGTTTATCATTAATGTGTAAACATTTGGATATTTGGATTGTCCCAGTCTGAAAAACGCTTTAAAATATTGTATTACCACCATGGGCTTTTTGGAATTAGGTCATCGGACGCACTCGCATCAGATTAGTTTACGTGGTAATGGCGTTTAATTACAATCGATAACCGGTGATAAGGCGAACGTTATCATTGTGATGCCGCTCCTTTACTTATTATCGAATCGTGGGCGTATTTTGTAATAACGTGTAGATAGGAAACTTGGCGAGCGAAGTGTACCGCTTTATTACCGCGAAATTGCTAAAGTTTTATTTCCACAAAGGAGAACTATGTGCTTCTTAATCTTAATTTCGTCAGTAATACTCATCTTGTATAAAATTTGTTGAACGATTACATAGGATGCTCAGTTCTATCGAGAACAAACGGGTATTAATTTTGTATGATTTATTTAATTGGCCAGATGAACGAACGCCATAATAGTAATAATGTTAATAGAATAAGTATTCCCTATGACGACAATAATAGGGGCAAGAATAGCGCTTAACGTAATTAGGGAATTGCTTATTCGAATTACTTTGTACCGCGGTGCAATATCCAATACCGTAAAAGCTTCGCTTTAATTTAATAGTCTAATCGTGCGTGTAAAAACTGTAGAGATATAATTCTCGTCACATGAAAAGGTAATGAATTTTCTTTAACGAATATCAGACAATTAAACTCGTATAAAATACCTAAAACCCTCGCGTGTCAAGTATTAATGGCTAAGGAAGAAGTCTGTAACTTTTTCGAAACACGAGAAATCGATTTACGATGAAGGCGCAAAGGGAGAAACATCTAAAAAATGCTCGCGTGTTACTTTTATTTCTCGAAAGTCGATATCCCTGCACCTGTACCGCTGCGAGTCACTTTTACGGTGGTAAGTAATTCGACTTGGTGCTTTCTTGCAAATTATACTCGACCACTTCCGTCTGCTTTGATGCGCCAACAGCTTCCGGGTTAAGGATGTATTGGCTATACAGTCAATCCCAAAAGTTTATGTACCTTAGAAAAACGCATTTCCTATAATTAAAAAGAAATCAGACGTCAGAAGAATAATGCTAATAATAAATAGCTACGTGCTAAAAAGTATAGAAGGAAATATCCAATTAAGTATTGACGCTGACGAAAAATTTTTTTTT